TTATAAAAGTTTTTACATTTTTTAATAAAGCTTTTATATGAAGCAGTGGTTATGTTCATTTGGATATTTGATCAGTAAGTACCTTGTGAATCTTGAAATTGTTTGGTGTAAAATTGCAATGGTAAATTACTCTTTTTCCCCTGAGAGATGCCTAATTTTATGTCTCTCCTCTTTGATTTGAAAAATCACATTCATTCCCCTTAAGCAAAAGTATGTGCTACACCAGACTTATCTGTAACAAAAAATAATATACAATGACATCAATGTTGACCAAAACATCCTTATATTTATTAATATAAAATGCAAGTAAGTATTTATGTGATCACTATAACATAATCCCTTTTTGGAATTTAGAATAAATTTAATCTTTGCTTTTCTGCATAAAATAAATATCATTTCAATATAAGTCTAAAAGATACATTCTGCAAGAAGCTTTATTTATTTTTAAATAAAAGGAAATCAATATTATTCTTGAGTTATTTCGGTGATCTGTTGGCTTAAATAGACGTTTTGTATAAACCTTCATTTTCTTTTGGGTCAAAGTTTGTGTATATCTTCACGATGGAGAAGGTTATGCAATTTTGGGCATCTTTCGTAGAAGAAGAAAGTAATTTACCCAAATTATTTACTAAATAAAATACTAAAGGTGTGACATAATATTAATAATATTAACTAATTATTAATATTCAATATCTCTAGAAGGCGGCGTATGGTCTGAAGTATGAAGGGTATAAGTATCATAGGCATGTAGCTAAGCAAGATAGAAAGAGGACAAATATTTGCTCTATTGGGTGTGGATTAGGGTATAAGGTTGCTGGTTTCAATAACCCCTTCAAGCTAGGTCTTTGCCTTTCCTTCTCTTTACCTATTACTATTATTCTTCAAACTAGATTCTTTCAAGCTATCGGAGGAGTCGGTAGAGGAAATAATCGTTTACAGATAAGCTTTAGTATTCTGATCTCCTTTGTTTCTCTCACCTTTCGTTTAATGAGGTATCTGTTATTCAACTTGCTGTGGCAAACAATGTTATTTTATCAGATCCATACCTGGTTATGATCATTGTTGTTTCCTTTTTTGACATTGGTGCATTTGAACCGCTTGTTATGAGCTAATATGTGATCTGGTCGCCATGTCTAATCTGCTCTACTCAAATTTCTCTTTGTAAACACAAGGTAAAACCTGGGCTCACTGGATTTTTTTTTTAAACAAATCTGCTTCTGATCTGTTTGAATTTAGTCTTGGAAATTACAGAGAGGTTGGAAAGAATTTGTGTGGTGAATTCCTGGTTAAAGTGTGCTAGATCTGAGGAACTTGGCTAGAGCAGAGCAAAGACTCCTCACTTTTGCCTTAATTGTGTGTGATCTGAGTACTGCTAGCTTTTAGTGGGGTTGGGTAATGCCCTTCTTCCTATGGCTTCGGTCCTTTCCGGATGTGTCATTGGTTGATGATTAAATTGGGATTGGGAGAAAAGGAAAGGAGCACAGCACGGGAAGGAAACTATTTGTCATTTTAAAATGTGATGATGGGTATATTTGTGCCTAAAAAAAGCATGGTTTTTGGTTTTTTGATAAACCAGCTATTGGCAAGGCGATGTTTCAGGAGCCATACAATCAGTCTTCTGAAGAAAAGCCAGATTTGACTTTCTTTGTTTGCTTTTTGTTTCTTTTTCTGCGAATTTCATTCAACACACTTTGAGTACACTGGTCTCTTTGAATGCTCATTATAGTTATTCCTTTCTTTTGCAATACATCATAACATCATTAGGAAATCAATCATATGCTAAAAGAGTAATGATGCACATTAAAATTAAAGTCTGGTTTGAGGTTAGGCAGAGTAAAAGTTGGTTAATGTTTTGACCTGAAGTTGGGGTCAAGTCATTTTCTGGACTCTATTAGGAGCATGGCACTAGCAATGGTTGCGTTGAGTGGTTGGGATTCAATTCCCCTTTAGTAAGGTCTCAGGCTTGAGCTTTATAGATTGAAAAAACAATGCTGGAAGAGTTACCCCTCATTTGGGGTCTGACAATGCTTGAATATGAAATAATTGGGTTGTACTAGATATTGTATTGTTGTTTACAATAGAAAAATATGTGGAGCTTGTAGGATTGTAGTTTCTCACTCATAATACAATGACATAGATTTTTCCTTGATATTTTACGTGTTTGTATAGAAGCTTTTGACAGTGATTATTGCTGGTTTGTGAACCACCATATTTTTGAACATTTTGTTGGTAGTGATTTGTGAGGAATGATAATTGCCTTTAACCAATGGTTAAGGCAAACCTAACTTTGCAACTGTCTTTGCTGATGTTTCTTATGTGCCTTTAACCCATGGTTAAGGCAAACCTAACTTTGCAACTGTCTTTGCTGATGTTTCTTATGTTACTTTTTTGTGGTGTTTGTTTTATGAGGAATCTTTTTTCTTTCCTTGTTTTCTTCTTTTTTTCTGATAAGACATGTTTTGTATTAAAAGGAAAAAAAGAACAGAAGGAAAAAAAAAAGCTCCTTCTGTATTAATTGGAGCACTGTGTAGATTTTGCATGTGTACCCTTGCCTTGAGCTGTAGTTTCTTATAAATGTGAGACATCTGTAATTTTCTATGCAATTAAGGGTGTGACACAGCTAATGCTTATATTTGTTTGTCCCTGCAGCTATTCTAGAAGCACTGACCAAATGTGCTGCCTAGATTCTCGAGGGCATTTATCTGCAGAAGAGGAGCTTGCTGCAGAAGAGAGTCTTGCAGTTTATTGCAAGCCTGTAGAGTTCTACAACATTCTTCAACGACGTGCTATAAGCAATGTACTGCATTGTATTGGCAATAATGATATGTTGTTTTAAATCACAGTTTATGTGATTATTTATCATTTTTCTTACAATACATTGTATTTATCATGAGATTAATTGTTTCCTTGGAAATCTTACACTCCTTCTTGGTTTTTAGGAGAATTTCTTATGCTCCCTTTGTGCACATCTGTTAAATTTTTCTTTTGACTAACTTTTTCCCTGATTTATTGTCCTTCAATCCATGATTTCTCCTATAAAATGTCATTTGCTGTCATTACTTGTTATATATATATATATATATATCTAACAGAATGCATATATCTTCTGCAGCCATCATTTCTCCAAAGGTGTCTGCACTACAGGATTAAGGCTAGGCACAAAAGGAGGTAAACATTATTACATCTGTCCTTTCTTTTTCTTACTTGCTTCCTTTTCTTTGATGGTCAATTGTATGGCACATACCCTTGGAGAGTTTTTATGCTTAGTTATTTTTCTCATTTATGAAAAAGAAGTATGTGAAAAATTACCTTTGGTCTCCTTATTTTTTGACATAAAATTCAAATCTGATTATATTTATGGCCCATTTGAGCACACATTTCATGTGAAGCTTGTGATTTATTTTTGAAATAGTAGTCCTGTAATTTCCTTTTTAGCTTGCCTTTATTTCTTAATAGAATTCCTATTTCCTTTTTGGTCCATAACCAAATTCTATTATTAGTGCGAGAATCTTAAATGCTAAGAACCTTTAAACTCTATGCTTACGAGAGCTTTCCTGTCAGTGTTAAATCTATGCTTATGAAAGCTTTCCTGTAATGAATTCTCCCTAAAAAGTATTTGCGTAAGTCTTAAACCCTGAGGGACAACAACAATTATTATTTCCTGAAATGGAAGAAACTTTTGATTGAGATCTCTTGCATTCCATTCTAACCAAAGAAATCAAGACCCTGCAAAATAAATGACACTGGTTAAGATTTGCCTTATCATTATATCGGCAACCTTCTCACTCATCTTGTTTGACACTGTTATTTTCATGGCCTCTGTGTGTTTCAGCAAATCATCTTTTCGGTGGTTGCTCCTTTTGGATTTACAAATACTTGGAAAGCTCTTTTGACCTAATGATTTAGTAATTTTACTTATTTGTTTTTAGTACTTCTTGTTCTCTGTTTTGAATTCTCTTTTCTTCTTCCCAGTAATTTTTTTTTGGTCAGAAATCTTATGACCATCTGCCTTGTGTGAGGATGAGCTCTTGAGTAGTTCAGAACTCGTCGTCATAACAGAACTGTGTTAGCAGCCAGCCACTCATTATATCCAACAAGTCTTTGCTTGTTTAATGTGCTATGGCTTAAGTTTTTTAGCGCTAGTTTTTCTGAATTTGTTTGAATGGTTTGCAATGGAAATAATATTTTTTTTTCATTATATCTTTCTATACACTTGGATAATACATATATACATGTTTGGGGCTCATAATCAAGAGGAATAAAAGGCAAAAATTGAGTGGATTGATTGATCTTATCTAATTACCAATGAATCCTAATCCAAACAGTATTATAATCGCCAAAAAAATAGGCCCCTAATAAATTCATTGTTTCAACACATATGAAATTTACATAAGTACTCTTCAGTCATTCCATGTTGTTCCTCATTAGAGAAAAATATGTTAATTACTCTTGCATGCACATTGCAATACTTACCCCTTTATCCTCTTTTGGATGAAAGAATGTTATTTATTTATTTGATACATTAGGAGGGTTTGAACCTTTGACTGCTACTCATACCCCACCTGACCTTTACCACATGAACTAGCCTCAGGTGGTTGACGGCTTGATATTTTTAGATATGCTTGAATAAACTGTAATTTTAAGTATTGCATTGTTTTTCTGCTGTCTTGTTCTCTTTGGTTTTACTTGAGCATAGATATCGATTTTGAGATGCTAATGGGATTACATCATTTTAATAGAATACAAATGACAATTTCGCTGTCACGGATTGCGACTGAAACCCAGCCTGTATTTCCTTTGTGTATCTTTCTGGCAAGATTGGTTTCTGATGTCGGGGCTGCAGAGGTAGTAATTGTTCCACTTAAGCAAAAGTATTTTGTGCCTTTATGCTAACTGGGTTCTTTGTGCATAATATCTTCACTATAATATTTTTTTCCTCTGGTCTAAAAACTTTTTTATGTATTATTCCAAAACAAAAAGTATTCTGCTACATATAGCATCAGTCGGCTTTGCATGTTTCACAACTGCCCTGGAATTAATGGGGATTCTCAAGTCCAAGCAAACTTTACACTCCCTGAAGTTACTAAGCTAGCTGTGGAGGCTAAGTCTCGTTCCTTGCTATTTTATTTGTCAGCTCAGGTGTGTATATGCTAGTTCAATTTAAATGAGATGAAAATATCTGTTTTTTTTTTTTTGGGCTCAACTATCAATTTGCAGTGGAAAACTTGAAATCATCAACTGGAGATGGTACAAGCATGGTGCCTTTGGATCTTGCTTCTTTTGCATGTGAGATATGCTTTAATTTATAATTTTTTGTCCATTAAAAAAGAGTGGCAGCACTTATGCCTTGCTGTTGGCCACTTCTGTAAAAAGCATGTACACTTTTTTAAGAGTAAAAGAAAGTATTTCAAAAAGTTAAGTACATGTAATAAGACAATAAATTCTTGGGTAAACAAAAGGAATGGAGAAAAGTATGAACTCATAAAGGAATGTGACACCATAGGTCTTAGTATGGAAACTAGGCTTTGATACCACTAATGTGGGTAGAAAGAAAGAGAGAGAGACAGAGGCCAAGAGAGAAACAGAGAGGATTATAATTTGAATAGTGCTATAAAATTCTGAATAAGCAACACGATAAGCTTTACAAGTCCTAAGCCTTTATTTATTCACTAATCTAGGTTCAATGGTCATTAACTCCCCAAACCTAGCTAACTTCTATTTAATTTATTATTTACACAACAGATAGGAACTTAGCTATGCCTAAGTTCCACATTGAGCAGTAAGGGTGCTTAACGGGGTATTTAAATTGATTTGTTTTCCTACCAATAGCTAGCTTTTAGGGACAGGTTTCCTATCCCAATTGAATACTATCGATTAGTATTAGGGTTGGTGGTTGAAGGTTCTAGGAAGGGATTTCTACAAAGGGTTTTGTTCTGCAGAGGGTTCTAATTGATGAGAAAGTTGAGGGAGGAGTCACTGGGTGTTGTAGAATGTTGTCATCAGGATGTCAGCTCTCTAAGAGGAGCCAATTGATGGAGACCTAGATATTATGGGATGCCTACATCTTACATTGAGTATATGAGATGCTCTATTGGGTATTCAAGTTAGTTGGTTTTCCATCTCAGTTGCTAGTTTTTAGGGGAGGGTCCCTATCCCAATTGAATACCCTTCAAAGTGCTAGTACTTCAAGGGTGCCTTCTTGCCCATAGGTTGGTGTGTTTGGTCAGAATTTGGGCATCTCTTAGGGCATGGATGAGTAAGTTACCCTCTTACTTTCAAACAAAACGGATTTCTGCTAACATAATGTAAGTAGTGCTAGATGCTCCATACTTCCAAACTATGCAACATTAGATGGCTATAGATCTCCAAATTTTTATACATATAAAATTTATTGCAATAGGAAAGAGCTTTGTTTTGACATTTATTTAAATTAGTATGATAATATTCTTCTGTGTTAGAGAACTTCCAATTGTATTTCATTCTGAACCTGACAGCAAAAGCTGAAGGATACTGCTTATATGGAAAAGTATCTTTAGAATCACTTTATATGACTTGGGAGAGCTCTCCAAATTTTAATTTGGGACAGCGAGCTGAGATCATGTCAACTGTCGAGTTGCTTCCTTGTTTTTTGAAGGTACATTTGTATGAAGCTAATGTTAAGCATTGCTTTTCACCTCCTTTCTTTTGGCTCGGGACTGTGTTCTTTTGTCTAAGAATGCATTTCAACCCTGATGTTAATCATAATTAGAATAGTTGTAATAAATTGCAATGTTCTTGTTGCAGTCAAATTTTTTAAATGAGGACAAGCGTGTCTCCATTCAAGTTCCCCATAACACTGAAAATGTGGTTTGTTCTATCTTAAATATCATTTATTCTCTGAACAATACATTTTGGAGACTAACTGCTGTTTGTTTCTTTTCCATTCTGTATTCCCCAAGAACATGTCAAAGCAAGTTCAAATAACAGTTTCTGCAGAAGAGTTGAGGGCCAAGGAAAAATCTCATTATCATACATATGGGGGCAGCGAAGTACCATCTTCATCATTATCTCATATCATTCGGTAAATTTCAAATTTCTTCTAGGCATCTGTTATCATGATGCTTGTTTGGTTGCCAAGAGTGTTATGTCCTTGATTCTTTGCAATTATTTTTGTGAGGGACCACGTCCTCCCAAAAGCTTTAGCTGTTAGCTAAAGTCTCATGATTGATTTTATTATGTCTCTAGTATAATTGTTCAGACAAAAGCCCTTTGGACCTGAAATGTAAACTGAGTGCAAGCCTACTGTACATTGTTTTGTAATTTTATTTAGCAGCGAAATCAAATAAATGAAATGGATGGAACTCTTGACTATAGAAAAGCATTTGTGAGATTCATATCCCAATGTTCTTATCTCATGTTTTTCATGGTGAGAATTAGCTTTGAGGAGATTATGATGCCCTGCTTGCAATATGCTGGCACGATCTTGTTATTGAGGTGGATTGATATGTTTTGTAAATGCTATTTATCTCTAAGTTTTGGAGTTTAATGTTACTCAAAAAGCAAGTTCGTGGTGATAAAGAAAATGGGAAGAGGATGAATAGGTTGATGAAACATTCTGAAATCAAACACATTTTATGATTGCATTTCCATGGTTTTGCATAATCTTTGGTCTTGAGTGTCCTCATTGCCTTAAAAGTCAATTTGGTGGTTAGTAGAAAAGCAGGAAAATGAAGAAGAAGAAGAAGAAGAATAGCAAGAATTGTTAATTAAGAAGTCTCATTCAATAACTTCTATAAGCATTTTGATAGGGCCTGTTATTTTCCTAAGACATATCAAAGGAAGTCAAAGGGGAAGAATAACTCTAGTGGAAATACTTTAATTGGTCCAGAAGCTTATCATATGGTCCCTAGCTGTAAGGAACAGTAATTTGTGATCTTTGTAATGATTAGGATCTTTTGGGTAGTATGGGCTGTGTGTTAGCCAAGATGAAGGTATTAGTGGTCTTTTGCTTGGGAAGGGATGGCCAAGGAGAATGAGTATGGGATTGTGACGAGACACTAGCGTCTCGAATGCCAGTGGGAGTGAAACTCTTGTCTTGAAGCTTTTAATATGTGTTATTGGTGTTATTGTTATCTTTTAGAGGAAATAGGGTTTTGGGCCAGAATTAGAGTCTTGTAAATCTGATTTGGTTTATTCATCTCATTAATATCAAAACCTAAGTATTTTCCTCTCATATTTATTGCTGTTGCTGTCTTATTTATTGTTCTTTGCTGTGATACTGGCTTGGGACACATTACATTCTCTTTAGTCTTCCTTCATCCTCTTTACAGGGCTCAAGATTATCCGTTCCGCTCTCCTTATTAGTGCCTCTCATGGCTTTTTCTGTATGTGTCCAAATCATTTTAAACGATTTTCTACCATTTCTCTCTAAATAGACGCCATGCCTACTTTTTCTTGTATATGCTCATTTTGGATTTTATCTTTTCGTGTATGCATGTACATCCATTTCAACATTATCACATCTACTACTCTAACTTTATGTTCTTGCAGTCCCTTTAAAGCTTAATATTTATTACCATATAATATGACTGATTTTATGTTCGATAAAATTTCCCTTGAAGTTTGAGGTACCTTTTGATCATAGATAACTCCTTTAACCTTTCTCCATTTAAATCACTTAATTTGTATCCTATGTACATCCCTATCAATTTTCCTATCATGTTGAATAGTTGCTCTCAAATATTTGAATTATTCCATTTGAGGTATAATTTGATCTCCTAATATCACTTCCAAATTACTTCTAACTGATCTCTTATTAAAATTACAATACAAATATTTCGTCTTACTTTTACTTAGGTGAAAACCCTTCAACTCCAAGGTTCTCTTCCATAATTCAAGTTTGCAACTAATCTCTTCTCTTGTATTCGTTATAAGAACTATATCATCTGCAAAAAAGCATGATGATTTCCTCTTGAATACGCTCAGTCAAAACATTTAGAACCAAGTCAAACAAATAAGGACTCAAAGATGACTTTAGAAAAGTTCTTTGTTTCATTGTTAGATGTTCTTATACTAGTTATTGCCTCCTCATATGTAGATATATATTGTATAGTTCTAATGTAGGCAACTTGGATTCCCTTTTTTTTCCCTAAGACTTTCTAAAGTACTTTTCTTGTTATATAGTTATAAGCATTTTTCAAATCAAGGAAATTCGTGTAAATCTTTATCTTTGTTTTGATACCTTTTCATTAATTCTCTTTGTAGATAAATTGCTTTTGTAGTCACCCTATTCGGTATAAAGCTAAATTAATTATCAGAAATATTAGTTTCCAATTTCAACTTATGTTCAATCATTCTTTCTTACAATTTCATTGTATGACCCATAAGCTTAATCTTTTTGTAGTTTGCACCATTTTGAATATTCTTTTTATTAAATATGAACTAAGGTGCTTTTCCTCCATTCATTAGGCATTTTCTTGGACTATAAAACCTCATTAAATATCTTAGTTAGCAATAGCTCCCCATTTTCACCTAAACATTTCCGTACTTTAATAGAGATACAATAAGGTCCAATGGCTCTATTATTTTTCATTTTCTTATAAGCTTCTTTATCTCACTATCGCATATCCTTTCATAGAACAACAAATTTTGTTCTCCTTCATGAGTTATTAAATCCTTTGAATTACTAGACAAGCTCCCTGCATCATTGAAAAAGTTCACAAAAGTAGGTCTCCTATCTGTCTTTATTATCACCATTTGTAACCAAAACTTTTTCTTCTTCATCCTTTATGCATTTCATCTATTCAAATCTTTTGATTTTCTTTTCATACTTTTTCCAATCTTATAATTTTTTCATTCTCCATCCTTTATCCCAAAATCTTCGTAAAACTCTTCAAATGTTTTAGAACGAGTTTCACTTCTAGTTTTCTCGATACCTTCTAGTTTTCAACATTATTGCACAAATGTATAGCTTTAAAAACATTCTTCTTTATGTTTGACTTTTTGTTGTACATTTTTATTCCACCACCAAGACTTCTTATCCCTTGGATCAAAACTTTTTGATTCTTTCAAAATTTCATAAAACCTCTTATCTTTTTAGCCATATCCTCCCACAAGATACTAGCACTTCATTGAGAACTTCAAATTCCTTTGTCCAAAAGATTGTGCTTGAAAATTTCTTGTTTCTCACTTTTTAATGTCACCACCTAATACTCGAGTTTAACACTTGTCAATGCTTTTTATTTTTACTGTTAATATACACTTCAAGGACGATGACCCTGTGTTGTCGCTTTATGCCATCCTTAAAGATCACTTTACAATTATTACAAAGTTTTCTATTCGTGTTCCTTACCAAAAAGAAATCAATCTTTGACCTTAAGGCTCTACTTTGTTAGTGATGAAATGTTCATCTCTCTTCTTAAAACAAGTGTTGCTAGTCTTGAAATCATATGCTAAATAGAAATTAAGAATAGATTGTTGTTCTTTGTTTGGCTTTCCAAAACCAAAACCACCATGTGCCCTCGCATAATTACTTGTCTCCTTTTCGACATGACCATTAAAGTCTTCTCCAATGAAATTTTTTTCCACTTTGTGGTATGCTTTACATCAACCCATTCAAGTCTTCCCAAAACAATTCCTTAAGATGGGCTTTTGCCCTAACTTGAGGTGTTTAAATGTTAATAATATTGACAATATCACGTTTAACGATTATTTTAAGGAAATAATTTTGTCCCTAATTCTTTTAACTTCTACCACGTCCTTTCACTCCTCATTAACAATAATACCTATCCCATTTCATGTGCTTACCTTCCTTGTATACTACCCATTTAATTTTGTAGCATGTTCACCACCTATTTAGTTTTCGGCAGATACAAGATATTAATTCTGCCTTGAATCATAACTCCTACCACCTTCATAGATTTACAAGACAAGGTCCCAATGTATCAAGTACCAAATTTGATCTTGCTCACATGGACTAACTTTCCGCTCTTGGTTGGAATAATTTGGTGGCCCTTGTTCATTTAATACTACATTCAGGCGCTAATTTAGTGGCTCTAATTCACTTGTCACTGTATTTGAACCATCCATCGTGTTACTTATAGGCAACAACTTAGCATTAGCACAACAGTATTTATTGTCTATATCCATGTGAGATTCAACAAAGTTTTATGTTGGCTGTTGAGGGCCTAACATAGCCCTCCCTCTTTATCCAAGCTTGTGACTGAGCTATAAATATAGACGGAGTTGGAAAATGAAGAAAAAAGGGGGAAAACATTCTGGTTGTAAAAAAAAAACATTTTGTTTTTGGCTTTTCATGCTTTCTATATGGTTGGCTCAAGTGTTCTTTGAGTTTTGATAGGATAGCAAAGGTCCAAGTGTCATGCTCGTGCTACTCATGCTATCCTTTGGTGCATATCTAAACCTGAATTCTCTGGTTTTTGAGTGGAAAAAATTTGTGTCCTTAGGCTCGATTGGTTAGGTTTTTTTAATGTACTTCGGTGTTTAGCCCGGTTATTTCTTTCGATGAGTTCCCTTTGGTGGACATGGAGAAGGATGAAAGAGCGTTTTTTATGTTTAGTTTCTTTTCTTGTTTGTTCTTTTTCTCTGTTGTATTTAAAGATATCTCATCCTCTTCATTTGTATCACTGCTTTCTTTATAGTAAAATCTCTATTTTTTAAAATTAAAAGCAATTGATAAATTTTACTATCATATAATTTAGTATTGAATGTGACCTGCATTTTAATCCCTGCCTTATTGTTTGGTCCAGGTTGAGGGAAGGAAACGTCATATTTAATTACAGGTATTATCAGAATAAGTTGCAGAGAACAGAGGAATGTGGACGGTTTCTTTATTTCTTTCTTTTTCCCCCTCTTTCTGATTGATATGCATGATTTTTTGTTATTAATATGTCTATTGAGCTGTTTAATTATCATATTATTTGAATAGAATAAAATGTGGGTTTATGTGTTTTTAAAATTGAACAAGATTTTCCAATTGTTATGGAACTTGTTATTTTTTAAGCTTTTTGAACTATTTGATCTCTGATATATAAAGTTACATACATGAGTTTATGATTATTTCCTGTGCTGAAATTTTGAATTTTTGGTTCATTTTTCAGGATTTGATTGATCAATTTTATTTATAAAAGCAGAAGCAGATTGGAAACCTTGACTGTTGCCAGTTAGAGCAGTGTATATTCTGTGTGTTTAACGAGTCATAGTTAATTTTGTGAATTTTATTTTACGATTCCATTGTCCTTGGTCACCAAGTTTGGGGAGGAGTACAGCTGCTTTACTTTGGGACTTAACATGACTAATGGCTGCCTTAGATTTTCGCAATGTATTTTTCAACTCCATACTTTGATTATTTTCTTCTGTAGTCTATATTGTTAGAACAGAATGCAATAATTTTGTTGGAAATTTTGCAGTCTCATCTTTGGAAGATATTTTTCTTTGCCCGCTACAGTTTCTGCAACTGCCCCCCTCTTTCTGATTGATATGCATGATTTTTTTGTTATTAATATGTCTATTGAGCTGTTTAATTATCATTATTATTTGAATAGAATAAAATGTGGTTTATGTGTTTTTAAAATTGAACAAGATTCTTCCAATTGTTATGGAACTTGTTATTTTTTTAAGCTTTTTGAACTATTTTGATCTCTGATATATAAAGTTACGTACATGAGTTTATGATTATTTCCTGTGCTGAAATTTGAATTTTTGGTTCATTTTTCAGGATTTGATTGATCAATTTTATTTATAAAAGCAGAATTGGAAACCTTGACTGTTGCCAGTTAGAGCAGTGTATATTCTGTGTGTTTAACGAGTCATAGTTATTTTGTGAATTTTATTTTACGATTCCATTGTCCTTGGTCACCAAGTTTGGGAGGAGTAACAGCTGCTTTACTTTGGGACTTAACATGACTAATGGCTGCCTTAGATTATCGCAATGTATTTTTCAACTCCATACTTTTGATTATTTTCTTCTGTTCTATATTGTTAGAACAGAATGCAATAATTTTGTTGGAAATTTGGCAGTCTCATCTTTGGAAGATATTTTTCTTTGCCCGCTACAGTTTCTGCAACTGACTTGTTTGGGGGGCTTTTTTTTCCCCTTTTTGATTTACAACGAGATTGACAAACTTTGTTGGCTTAGCCATTATTTAGCCTCACACTATGGGTGGAAGGTTTTGCTGTCCTCCTTTGATATATTGTTTTCTCTTCTCTTGAATTCCATTTCTATAGAAAAGACCACATTTTCATTTCCTACAAAAATAATCATAGAGGAAATCTAATATACAATCTAGAATTTGGAAGCTTCACTATCAAAGGAACAACAACAACAACAACAAGCCTTATATCGGCTACATAGATTATATGATGCCATTGTGCTTTATTATTTATTAAGTTTTTAGAAATATTATTAATTAAAAGATTTCGCTCAATAACTTTCAAAAGTGTTTTCTTTGGCCTTCCCCTACCCTTCTTGACAGGGCTGAAAGTCATCTATTTCACTCTCCTCACAGGTGCCTCTCGTGGTCTTCTTTGTATATGTCCGAATCACCTCAAATGATTTTCTACCATTTTTTCTTCAATAGATGCCACACCCACTTTTTCTTGTATTTGCTCATTTTAAATTTTGTCTTTGCGCGTATATCCACACATCCATCTCAACATTCTCATCTCTACTACTCCAACTTTATGCTCTCGTTGTCCCGTCAAAGCCTAACATTTACTATTATATAATTGCTGCTGGTCTTGTAACATTTGATAAAACTTTCCTTTAAGCTTATCAGGTACCTTACGATCGCAAATACTCCTATTTTGTCTTTGATATTCGAAGTTAACTTTGGTTCTATTCTAAATGCTTAAGCTTTTGAACCTGTTGTACGTGGACTTGGTATGTTTGTTTGACCAAGTAGCCAGGTAATTCATTTTAGTTTTCCTCGGTTTTGTAAGGCATTGTGGGTAGTATATGTTTTATCCATGTTTGCAGTTGCATACTTCAGCCTTGTGTGCTGTCTTGTTGAGTGTTGGGTTGTGTTCAAGACAAAAGAATTTGTTTTCAGCTAATTCCTTGAAGGGATTTGATAATATTCACGATCTTGAAGGATTCATTTTCCTCCTACGTTGTAATTATTTCCTTATCAATTGCTTGTTTCCTGGAAAAATGTGAACACAACTGTGGATAAAGTTTTGGATTGAGTGGTTCTTTCATAATCCTTCATGTCTTTTCATAGCATTGGATGTAACAATTGTTTTACATTTTGTTTTCCTTCTTTATTATTAATATCTATCTTTCTGGGTTCTGCCTCATATAACGATTGGAAGCTCTTTTTGTAGTCACTGAAGACTTCTCCTGTCCATTCTGTTTGGTTAAATGTGCCAGCTTTAAGGTTGCACTACTCTTGGGTCTTGGCTGCTCTTGTTTAAGCATATTTGTTATCAGTATAATAAGTAGAAACAATTTTTTTATGCCTCTGACATATGATCAACCTTTTTAAGGGTCTAAAATGTCACTTGCCGTCATCACATGATCTCTTCAGCTTTGAATTTGGGTCAGTTCTTTCCACAATTCTTTCATTTCTTCTAAGCATTGGTTATATTAAATCATGAACACTAAACCATGGATTATTATGCAGCAATCAGATGAATTTCTTGCTGTAAATGTGTCTGTGAAAACTGACATCTGGAGATCTGAGGTAAGACAGCTTGGCCCAATTTTTTTTAAATATTTTTATTATTATGTAATTGGATATAATTCTTTGGTGTGCTGACCATCTCCATGTCGATTTTTTTTCCCTCCGCTTTATTTTCAGGGGCTGGTTGGTGGGTTTTGGGTTGTTGGTAAGAGTTAGTGTGGAATTTGGGAGAAAATGATATTTCTATATTGAATCAAAATGGAGATACATAGTGAGTATATATACAACAAAGGGAATAGATACTAATAATTGCTAATAATGCCTAATAACTACTAATAAAGGCTATACAATACTAGATAATATTTACAATAAATATTAAATCCCACACTCCCCCTCAAGTTGGATCATAGATGCTAATCATATCTAACTTGCTCATGCAATTCTCAAATGCAGGTCCAAGTAACCCTTTAGTCAAAACATGAGCGGGTTGTAAGTTTGTAAGCAAATATGTCAAACATAAAATTCCTTCTTTCACTTTTTCTTTGATGAAGTGTCGATCTATCTCTACATGTTTGGATTTGTCATGTTGCACTAGATTTAAGGCAATGTTTATGGTAGCCTTATTATCACAGTAAAGTTTCAATGATGAGCTTGCTTCAACTTGGATTTCATTCAAGACTCATTTTAGCCACAATTTCTCTGTTATTCCTTGAGCCGAAGCTCTCAACCTAGATTTAGCACTGCTTTTTGAGATGACTCTTTGCTTTTGGCTTCGGATAACTAAATTTCCCTATACAAATGAATAGCAGCCAGAAGTTGACCTTTGATCTTTATAGGTTCCACCCCAACTTACATGGGTGTAAACTTTAATAGATCTTTGCTCATGTTTTTAAAGAACAACCCCCTTACTAGGAGTACCTTTTAAATATCTCAAAATCTGTAAACTACCTCCTGACTCTTCATTGGGTTGCTTATATATTGACTGGTTTATTTTGACAACAAATGCTATATTCGATCTCGCATGGGAAAGACATATCACTGTTTCAAACTGTATATGGACTTTTTCAGTTTACAGGCTTGAGTTTCTTTGCCTTTATTAAACCTAGGAGGTAGTCATATAGACTTCTTCCTTCAACTCTCCATTTAAAAGGCATTTTTGATGTCAAGCTGGGGGAGAGGCCACTCAAGATTAGCTGCGACAGATAACAAGACTATGAGAGTGTTCAATTTGTCACCGGAGCAAATGTTTCTTTTCATAGTCTAGGCCATATGTTTGGGTAAATTCCCTTGCAACCAAGTGTGCTTTCAACTCGTCAAGAGTTCCATCAGCCTTGTATTTTGGGGTGAACACCTACTTACAGCTAACTGTTCTCTTTCCTTTAGGTAGCTGAACAAGTTCTTATGTCCTATTCTTTTTCTAAGGCCCTCATTTTTTCCATGATAGCACTCCGCCATTCACGATACTTAGAGCTTCCTATATAGTCTCAGGTACCTCCACTTTATCAAGATTAGCAATAAAGGCCCAATATTGAGGCGAAAGTGAATTGTATGAAACAAACTTCTATATTGGATGGAAGTATATGAGCGAGTTGGCTTCCTTGAAGCAATATGGTTTTAGAAGTTGCCCTAAATTTTAAGCCTCCATAAGTATTTGCTCTAAGAGCTACCTCTAGTTCTCACTCTCTTGATGCTTCAGGTACAAGTTGCTCATTGTCTTTCATTTCTTTTTCTGAGTGTAAACAAGCAATTATCCTTTTTGTGGTTTTTCTGCATTTCTGCATCTTCTCCTCTTTGCCCGTGTTCCTTAGATTGTGGCATAAGAGGAGATGGCGGTGCAGGTAGAATAGGCTTAGGAGGTGAGGGCAGTACTGGCTCAGTTGCTATAAACCATGGTTCAAGGAGCACTATTTCTCGGTTAGGCTCTTGATCCCAAGTCTAAGATTGACCCATGCTCTCCCCTTAAATCGAAGGATTGGGATAGAAGGGAGTATCTTCATGAAGGGTGACATCAAGGGTGACAAATGTGTTTTGAGATAAGGTCAAAACATTTGTATCCTTTTTGAGTAACAGAACAGCCAAGGAAAATGCATTTAATTGCACGAGGTTAAGTTTGGTGCTTTGGTGGTTATGGACAAAGTTTGTGCAGCCAAATAACAAAGTAGAAGATTAGTTTCAACATGAGATATTGAGAGAACACTTTTCAATTTGTGGAGAGGAGTTTCAAAGGATAAGATTCGACTGATCATATGATTGATTAGGTAGGTTGCGATCAAAATAGCATCCCCTTAATAAAATTTTGGCACATTGCAAGTAAACACAAGTGCTCTAGCAACGTCAAGTATATGGCGATTTTTCATTTCAACAACCCCATTTTGTTGAGGTGTATGAGCACAAGAACTAATACGGACAATACCATGCATTTGGAGGAAAGTACTCAAAGATTGGTTGAAGTACTCAGTGCCATTATTGGTGTGGAGGACTTGAATGGTGGTGTTGAATTAGGTTTTGATCATGTTGTAGAAATTGATGAATGTGGATACAACCTTAGACTTGTTTCTTAAAAGATAGACCCAATAGAGACGAGTATGATCATCAATGAAGGAAACAAGCCATGTTGTTTTAGTACAATTGGGAGTACGAGAAGGTCCTCACAAATTGTTATGAATGGTTGTGAAAGGTTTGGTAGGTTTGTATGGGGCTCTAAGAAAGGAAATTCTGTGATGTTTGGCAAGTTCACACACTTCACAATGGATGTGATTAATATTCAATTTTGGGTTAAGGGTTGGAAACAATTGTTTAAGGGAATGAAAATTAGGGTAACCCATCCTCTTGTGCCACAACATAAAAGTATTAACTTTAGAGGTAGATATAGAATTATCAACAATCAGTGAGTTACCCATTCAAGTAGAGACTTCAAAATAGTAGAGTCTCTCATACCCTTAGCACTTTCAATTGTCGCTCTAGATGATACGTCCTAAAATGCACAATGAGATGGGATAAAGTTAGCATAACAATTTGATTGTTTGGTCAATTGACTGATCAAAAGCAAGTTGCAATCAAGTTTAGGCACATGAAGTACATATTCCAATATTATAGAACTTGAAATTCAAATACTCCTTTTTCCTACTACAGGTGCTAAGGAACCATATGCAATCTTCACTTTAACATTCCAGCACATGGAATGTAAGTGGTAAACAACTAATGACAACTGGTCATATGATCGGATGCTCTTGAGTCAACGATCCACACAATGGAATCTCAGGATCTCTTTAGTGCATGAAGAAAAATCTCTTTTTTTGCTACTAAGACTTGAGCTTTAATTCTGGTTACGTGTGGAGACAATGTTAGGAAGACCCATATTAGTACTCCCACAATCATAAAAATATTCTCATAACAGAGAAAAGTTAGAAACCACAACTCCACACACAAAGATGATGTACACAAAGAGTTGCAAAACAGAACAAGGAGCTCGTGATAGAGAAACATTGAAAAAAGAATCCCCAAACTTGGGGAATATAGGAATCGTGTTGGAAATGCCACACCATCGACGGAGGAAGGTGTCACCGTCAACGTAGAACCCTCATGCGCTTCCACACGCCACCCTGCACTCTCTGACGCAAAACAAAGCTTCGGTGCGTGTGACTCGATGGCGTTTTGGGTTTGGGCCAATCGGAGGTTACCGGAGGTCCTACTGTGGGCAGTGAGATCTAGATCACCCTCCTTACTGAGACTCACGCTCATCCTTGTATTGCGTCTTTGGGCCCAGTGTGCTCAAACCCTAATTCCCTTTCCTTTTTCCCCCCCACACACTCCCACTCTCTCCTTATGCTCTGATATCATGTGGAATTTGGGAGAAAATGATATTTCCATATTGAATCAAAACGAAGATACATACTAAGTATATATACAACTAGGGGAATAAATACTAATAATACCTAATAACTACTAATAAAGGCTATACAATAATAGATAATATTTACAATAAATATTAAATATTCCCATGGTGAGGCATAAGAACGTTGAGAAAAATGGGGGGTAAAATAGTTAGAAACCAAACTAAATGTATTGTTAGAAGACTAATGATGACGTTTTTAATACTAATTATATACCTCTATATATACTAATGCTATAACCATACAAAAACACTTGTGCCTTTGGGCGCACTGCAAGTAACTATTCCTTAAGTTACAAGACTTTTGTATGTTCTTAATATTTTTTCAATAGAATAACTCTTTTCTTAACCCCAGAAATTTCTTAAATTCTTGATGCTTACTTAATGTCAAACACAATGTGGTCCTTGGGATTGATCTTCTCAATGCTTGCAAAGATTACTCTTCTCCTTCACATGGAATTATTTGTGTGTTCGTGGACTTGTTACATTGTGATTGAGTTTTGCTTGTCTCCTTCACTATGTTTATGCATTAGACTTGTACAATACACTTGACATTTTTAATAAATGTTTTCTTAGAGTAGATAATAAAGGCTACTGCTTCGGCTAGTCTTGGCTGTCTAGTCAGAATTTTGTTTATCATATTGCACTGCTATTTGATTCCTGTATAACATCTTGAGTTCACATGTTTTGGTACTATATGTTATAAATGCATGCATATGTCATTGGTCAATCCTTTCTTAGTTCAGGTGTGTTTGAACCCAAAATTGACCATATATTTTATTGATCTAAAAGTTTAACGCTGATATTGTGTTTTGAGATGGTAATTTACTTCTCAAGGACCCCTTGAACTCAAAATCTTTTAAGTTTGTGGTCCTTTGAACTCAAAAGCTTTAAGTTCGCTGGTGGTAATGTGCATTTAGCAACATTTTGATAGGGACCCTGGGAGGTTCCAGGAGAATGTGTGTGTTGTTAAGAAATTAGAAAAAGCTTCTGAAACATTTGAACCTTTTAGCGTAAAGGTGTGGTGTGAAGGGTTTTTTTCCCCTTCTTTCTTCATTATACCATGAAAACTTACTATGTAATGCATTTTCCGCCAGATGATTGCTGATGGTGTTGATCCGAAATTACAAACATTCTTCTTTTGGTTAGCTACTGAACTTATGTCATTTTGAAATTTTCTTAGCCTCGTATATGCTATAAAGTGAAAAAATGGTTAACTCTTTAAATGTTTATAGTGCAAAGCCACTCAAGCGCAGAAGACTAAAGTCCTTTTCTTCCAAAAATGCAAAGCGTGTGCATTCTTTTCTCATAGGTTCTGACTTTCCAGCAGAAGACAATGAGCTTTTGGAGAAGGCTGACGGTATGCAACTTCTTTTTCAAACTGTATCAGCTTTTTGAGTTGTTGATCTAATGCTCTCAAAATATCAAAACAGGTCAATTTATTGTTATCAGCATAGTGCTTTTTTTAGGAGTTGAATAGCTATCTGAAAATGGGGTCATGGAACTCCCAACCATAACATATTGAATACAACAAGCCAAATTTAGGAACATGATGGAAATGCAACTGACGTCAAAACAAAATAGCTGTCCACGATTCTTAATAGTAGAGCACTTCTTTCAAGTATATTAAGTGTTTTTGTACACTGATAATGGTTGTCTGCTTTTGCAGCAGCAGAAAGGAAAATTGTCACGAGAGGTAATAGAAACACATAAAATTGAAACAGAAATCCTAACATCTAGGAACAAACTGGTTAATTGATAAATTAATACAAAAATATATTTTTGTTTAATAGCAATTGATACTTCATTCAAAGAGAATGATTATACAATAGCGATGGAGTGTTAAGATATTTGAAATAATTTGAAATATCCTGAGTGGCTTTGACACTCCTAAAGCTGGCTGGAAAATGTCTTAGGTCGCTTGCTTATGAAACTGTTGAAGTTCTTGGTCAGTCTTCTATTCAAAATGTCTGCTGTCTTTTCATTTATAGAGACGTAGGGAGCACTAATCTGATTTTTGTCTATCTTGGTTTTAATTAAATTCTGGACTTATTTTTGTCAAGCATAAGCCTTCCATTCTCCACCCACTTGAAAGAACTCTCCTTAGGAGAGTAAAGCTGCTGATAGGACTGCCTAAAGGCTGGATTGAAATAGAGAAACTTCTCTTCAACCTTAGTTGCAAAGTACATGAATTGACCTGTCAATAATTTTATAAGACTTGAACATCAGTTGTTCAATCACAAGTAGCAATATCAGTTGTTAAATTATTAATTTTACTTGTTAATTTACTAACATTAGTTGTAAATTATTGACAGGTCTTATAATTTATAGTTGATATTATTAAATTAACAAGTAAAGTTAGCAAATTAACAGATGATGTCATTGCTTATCTGACAAACTGCTGTAATTTACAACTCATATTGGTAAATTAACAAGTAAAATAAGAAAATTAACAACTAATGATTTAATTTTGGTTTTGCATCTCAAACAAAATTAAGAAGTGAAGGGTACTTTGGTTTTTTCACCATTAAAATTATTTTTACTTCAGTCCTCCTGGACTGAACTGAAATTTCTGATTTTTTTGGAACCTACTAATAATTAAGTCACATCCTTGGTCCTTAGTTGAAATTCTCCAAAGAAAAAAACTACTTCCTCTAAGTGACTGCATGTGCAATACTTGATGTATACGAGCAGTTGCTTGTGTACAATTGCAAATAGCAGAGAAAAAATCTTTTTAAGGCTTGACGCATCTGGTATATCACCACAAAACATGGGTTGCAGAAAGTTCCTAAACAATTTAGATTGCTTTCAATCCTAGATCTTTCTGACTATGTAGCACGGATACTTCAAAAAAGTAAACGTACCCGTATCCGATATGTATCCGATACGATACTTGTAGGATACTTCTGCATACGTATCCCATATTCTAACATTTGTTATATGATTTTTTTTAAATAATTTTTTACTATATCACTTAATAACTTGAAAAAACACTTAATATTTTAGTTAATTATTATAAATATCCTTATATTACTTTAGAAATTCTTGTTTAAAAATCAAAATGCTTATACTTACATCATAAAATGTTGAAATATACATTATAAATATTCCCGTACCCGTATTCTAAAATTTTGAAAATTTGCTTTATCCCCGTATCATGCCGTATCGTATCGGATACTCGTACCCATATCTATGCAACCTAGCTTTCTGACTGGCATCTCTCTTAAGACCATCCAATGTGTGGGAAGCAAGGTGGCTACTGGCTAGTGAATGGGGATTTGTATTCATTGCTCGTATGGGCTCGCAAGAGGCAGCTCTCCATCCATTTACCTTTGTTGGGTCTTGGGACATATGACATATCCATATCTAAAGTCCGCTCTTATTTGAATACTCCTTGTCTTCCTCCATGGACTAAGCTTATAACTTAAGCTTCTATTCCATAGTCATCTACTACGTGCCAACATTCCTCTTTGCTCCCTGCAATGCCATGTGAGTATTGCATACGTAGATCATCCACCTTTGGAGGTTCTTTACCAGTGACGGATCTAGGAAATTGTTTGTGGGGGCAAAATTTAAATCACATAAATATTAATATTTTTGAAATATAATTCTAAATATTTATTAAATTAATTAAAAATAATAATTTACTTACACCAATAAAAATAAAAAATATTTTATTTAAAAGTAAATACATAAAAAATAAAACAACTATAAAATTCTAATAATTTTAAAATAAAATTATCTTAATATAAGAAAAAATTATATTGTATTAAAAATGATAGAATAAGTAGTAGCTATTGATATCATTTTCTCTGATGCTCTTTTTTTGATAAAAACAATTCTACTCTTTTATAATAAATATTTTTAATATGAACAGTTAAACAAAATTATTTTCTATTTTTAATGTTTATAGATATTCTCCTGTTGGTTAGGTTATCCTACTTAAGACACTATTGAATACTAAATGTAACCACCTTTGCTAGTAAGGATTCGAATTATCTTCTATTTTATTAGAAGGTATTACCTTCAAGTATGAATGAGTAGAAATTAAAAATTATAGAATCTAACCTTACTATCTTTTAGCAAATAAAGATTAGTATTTTAGTATTTGATGTTAGTGGGGGCAGCTCCTCCCATTCCCTTGAACGTAGATCCGTCCCTGTTCTTTACTAACTCACTGCAAAAGGCTGTCAATTTTTTTCAGGCTACCATCTCATCTAATAAGAGTGATTTCTCAGTAAATGCATAGTTAGTGCTTTCTTCTGAAGGAACCTCACATTTGAGATTTTGCCTCTTTATGCTGTTCTAAAAGGCTTCTCTGAAAAGGCTGGTCTCTTGACTAGGCATCACAAGTTAAGAGGTCAGAAATGATTTCGGGACTTGCACTATAGGATTCATGCCTAAGCACTTAACTTGCTTCTGGACAGGTTATCTCTGCCGATCTGCTTACCTAATAGCTGAGGTGCACACCGAACTTTGTCAAATTGATGGTCAACATAGCCTTTCTATATTCCTTTTCAGACCCCTCCTGAGAAGTTTTGGTATTTTAATCCATAATATAATTTAAATGGCCAGTCTCAAATATGAAAAGAGTGTCTGAAAGAAGTTTTCGCTTCAATAGCTAATTTCTTGACGTTCTCATCTAACTCAAGAACGTTAAAATGGCTAGCATGCAACCTCCCCTCTGGTTATCAACACTAGTTAAAATGATACAATATTCAACCATATTAGCGTGATATTCTTCTTGATTTCAGTTTTAATTATTTAATATTTTATCTTTGTTAGGTTTATCTTTTTGAGTACATCTTTGACAGTATTTTAGGGATTTTTTTATCTTGTCATTATATGGTTTCTCCATGCATCTCAGGCTGAGTGGCCCAAATGTTGCTGTCAGCCCCTCAAAATACCAGCTTATGGACAGAATAATAAATTGATCGTCCTCAAAATATGCTCCATAATTTATTAGAATTGACTTTTCTTATGTGACAGCCTTACTGTATTAATTTAAGCCTATTATTGTACAAACAAACAAAAAAAAAAAAAATCCCCTTCGCTTGAAGTTGATAGTATAATTGTAAGATATTATAATAAAATTCTTCATAGGCCATCACTTTACAGCTTAAGCTTTTGCTTTGAAGTGGGTCTTCACATGGTAGTAGAGCCTCTATGACCAAGTAGTCAAGAGTTCAGTTTTGATAGTTCCCTGTTTTTTATACTGGCATTGGTGCTTCCTACTGTTCATAACATTGTTAGTTTCTTCTACCTTCCAGAGATTTCAAGTGCTATGGGGCCTTTGCATCCAGACCCATATATCCAATCAGTATCTGAAAATAATCTTGGTGGGACTTCTGCAGTTCTACAGTTTGCAAAGACAAGAAAGCTATCTGTTGAGCTTTCTGACCCACGAAAGTATGCTCTTCTGACCTGCTCCTCATCTCTCATTCTTTCTGGGCTATATGTTTCTTGTTTAAAACATTTTTGCTCATCAATTGTGGATTATTATTATCTTGTTCAATATAAATGGACTATTTTCCAGACTCACTTAAGTGGCTTGTTGGTGAAATTCTGGTATCTCATTGCTCCTGCATTTTTTTATGCATAAAGAAACTTCCTTAGAAAGATGATTAAATGAAAGGAGGGATAAGAAGCAACCCATATAAGGGGAAAGCAAAGAAAGCAAAGCGAAACAGGTTCTTACTATTTAAGCAGATAATTATATTAGTCAAACAGATTCCCTTCAAACCGACGGGATGCCAGAGATAATACCCCTTTCCATAAGACATTTAGAATCCCAAGTACCTCTAAGATCCTACCATTGCTTCCTAGCCAGATAAACATAACCGCAGAAAGAATTGTATACCTTCACAATCATCTTGCCATCTTCATTGTATCCCAAACATTTGTACCATATTAATACAAGCTGATCCAAATTTTCTGGCAAACTCAACTCTGAAAAAACATAACAAACATCTTATTCCAAAGTGAAGTTGCCATACAACAATGTGACACGTGTCTACTTGTTTCTGAAGTAGCCCTACATATAAATATGATACAACAACAACAACAACAACAAGCCTTTATCCCACTAGGTGGGGTCGGCTACATGGATTGCAAGACGCCATTGTGCTCTATCATTTATCAAGTTTTTAGGAATATTATTAATTAACAGATCGCGTTCAATAACTTCCAAAAGTGTTCTCTTAGGCCTTCCTCTACCTCTCTTAATCGGACTCAAAGTTATATGTTCCACTCTTCTCACTGGTGCCTTCCTTGGTCTTCTTTGTACATGTCCAAACCATCTCAACCGATTTTCTACCATTTTTTCCTCAATAGGTGCCACCCTCACTCTACATATAAATATGATAATAGGGGAAAAATCAGTGCACTGTTTGGAGAGGAAACAATGGGTGCTGGTTTCGTACTCTCTGGTTATGTGTCTTCAGATTCCTAGTTTGTGTAATCAATTCTTCACAGTTAGCTTGTTTATTATCATCAAGTGTCTTCTTGTGAGTTATGTAAATTATCTAGAGTACGAAGGTCAGGTCAAAGGATTTTTTTTTTTTTGGAAGCATCTTACAGCACCTTTCATCTTCAAGATTCTGTTCAATCAACAGTCCAACTTTCTGAAATTTTTTCTGGGTAAAAGAGCTATTTTATAGGCTTCAATATTCCACCTATGCTTTGTTAAAAAATTACAAATATTTTCATCTAGTCAATTGCCATGCTGTTTTGAAGTTATGAGACCATGAGAACAACTATTTTCGGGTATGTTAGCATGTTGGACAAGGATATTGTGGTTATTGCTGTGACAAACAGATGACGTGTGTGCACGTGTTAGAACTAAAACCTTCAATCATTTTGACTAAGACGTGGCTGAGGCATGATCAACTGAAAAGAAAAGAAAAATCAAGATACAACAGGATGAGGGACTAGAAACTCCATATCCGTGAAATCATAAGATTATATCATAATTTGTTATTCCATGAATAGTTTGAATGATTAGTTTATATTAGTTAAAATTCCTTTTACTCACTAGATTTTTGGAAATAATAGCTCTAGGTGCTTAGAATTGGATGCCCCCCATTCTTTTTTGGGGATGGACTCGTGGGAATGGAAAGGTTATTAAAAAATTAGGATTTGGTTATGATGCTATCAATATGTTGCAATTCTGCAACCTAATACCATGAATCTTGCTGGTTAGCAGTCATCCTTTGATTAAATGGAAGATGGTAAAAGTCTTCATTTATTTGTGTATAAGATGAAGGGGTATATAAGTTTGTGGCAATCCTAGTCAAGTAGCTTAGGCTGTTTTGGTTATATGGAGCATGGACAAGCTCAACCACAAGTGAATGTTATTTTATATTTTGCTATGATTGGTCATTGTTAGAAATTATTTCAATAGCTTAAACTTTTGAGTTGGGATGACTTTGACATGCATTGAAGCCTTGATGACAAGCAGTGAGTGATTTAGCAGAGAGCCACCATTCTTTTTCTTCTTTTGGCTGTATGAAGAGAGTATTTGACAATGAGGTTGTTAAAAAATCTTCCCTTGAAGCTTGCTCTCCCCACCCCAACCCCACCCCCCAAGGGGACCAAAAAAAAAAAAACAGTTTGCTGAATGGAGTTTGCTCCCCGAGCTAATATTTCTAGATGACAAAGTAGTTTAGAGATCAATTCTTGACACCTTTACTCTTCATAATTGAATGAAGTTTAGCACGAGTTATGTGTACCTGGATTTTGGTCATTCTTCAAGTCCAATCGGCTTTCATGTGAGGGACACATTAGAGATTATAATGAAATTAAAACTTTAAAAGCCATACTGATAATTGAACTGGTTAAAGGATTGGCTTATGGTTTATTGATCCAACAATGGTCGAATCGATCTAGAAATTTGTATTTTTCATATCTGCATGTGCACATATATATAACTAAATAAACAATGATCAAGTATCATATAGCATATAGTAATGTATTTGCAATATCATTAGTAACCGACGAATATAACAGGTTCTTACTCATGCATAATATATTTTACAGTCCCTAATCATTACAATAATATTCTCAATCATTAAAAGGGGGCAAAAAATAAAGAAGGAATGTAAAGTTATTATGACTATTAAGAAAATGATCTAATTGTTGATGTCTTTAGCCTAATAAGTTTCTGAGAAAAGAGCAAAAACTATGCCTTTCCAATAAAGATTAAAAACGAAAGGTAAAATTAAAATTTCCAAACTGGTCTGCTTTACCGGTTTTTGGTTGGTTGTTTGCTGACTATTCGTTTTAGGGGGCCGGTCAAAATATTGGTTCACTAGTTTTCTGAGTTGGCCAGTCTGAGCTGGTTTTTAAATTAGTGAATAAAATTATTTATTGGTTAGAACTTCATTGCTTCAACTTTTGGGTTAAAACAGACTTTGACAATAATTGTAGGTTGCAGTTTGCTATTTAAAATTGTCATTCTGCTGTACACTAGTTGAATGTTCTACTTTATGACTGAAGTAGCTAAATTCGCTGGTAGGGTGCTGTCTATCTAATCACAAACCCGATTGGGTTAATATTGTGTCCAACTCATCTGGATATATGTTAGGAGAACCAGTGTTGGACGTCAATTATGGTTGTCCATGATTAGTCTTTCAACTTTAGGATGAAGTTCAAAGTAATTCTAATAACTTTTTCTACTTGTGATTATAACTTTCGCTGTGCATAAAACTCAGAAAACATTATTTTGACATGATTCTTTGAAATCTTTTCAGTTGTGCCCTCCTGAGGAAACGGCAGTTTTTTCACTCTCACAGAGCCCAGGTGACGAATGACTGACTTTTATGTTATTTTTGTTTTTCCTTGTACTGTTTCCTTTGCTGTTAAGCTCTTTGCTAATCATCCTTGTTCTCTTTAACGGTTTCCTTTGTTCAAATTTTCAAATATTATATTTTTTTTTTCAAGTCAAGGCTTTTTAGCTGGATAAGATTACTAGTTTGTTGTTCATTATGTTAAAGCAGTCCATAAACATTGATATGCTAAATGGAAGAGTAATAGAAAGATAACAATGTTGATTCTGGGCTAGCTGGAAGCTAAATTAGGGAAGAGTGAAGATGGGAAAATGTGATTTTTTTTTCTTACATTTTTTATACATAGAACGTTCAGGTCAATTGAAGGAGAAGATAAAGGTAGATTAGGTAAATACCAATGATTCACAATTCCCTTGTCTGTAAAAAAAATGTTACTCGGCCATATCTGTTTCCCAAAATTTTTCTGAATTACTGTGTCCACTATCTTTTTGGTATCAGTTGTTTTGCTTTCAGTGAAACATCATTTGCTAATTTGATGTGATTTAAGACAAGTATTTAATTCGAAAAATAATAGTTATTACTTCATATCTGTTTGGATATGGTAAAATAATAATCTCAGATTGAGCAGCTTGAATCGTGTCAGGTAGAATGCTTTAAATTTGCAATTTTATGGTTTTCATTCTTGTGTTGATCTTGATGCAACTTGACACATGACACTGATGCGTGGTGATTTCAAACCATGAACCAGGTTGGATCAATATTATTATTAGTATTGTTATCATTATTATTATTTTTATATGAAAAGGCAAGAAAAAACTTGACTAGTAGTTAACAGACCCAATAAGTTTCAAGCCTAGGTTAATACAAACATCAGAAGATAAGGCATTCCCTACGGGTATAGTGCAAAGTAACATTCCGAGCTTCACACACAAGTATTCATGTGTTTTGAATATCCACCTCAAAAGGATGATTTATCAGATTATCCCTCCAAATAAGGTTCAGTGCATCCAAGGAATCAGTAAATACTTGGATTTTATCAAGACCTCATTGCTCACATATCTGTAATCCTGTCTGAATACCGAGCATCTCTGCAATTGCTATTGGGTATCGACCCAAGCTTCATCTAAATCCCAAAACCCAGTTTGCTTGAGAATCTCGAACAGTACCACCACACACTGCTTGTCCATTGGCGTCAACAGAGCCATCTATGTCAAGACGGAGCATTCCTTGAGGCAGGGGCTTCCAAATCCTGTGGATCAATATTATTGACTGCTGCATTATTTCTGCCTCTTGTAGCATATTTACCTCTGATGGTTTTCTTTTTATTAAATTTTTAGGTTGCCACGAACTGTGGTAATCTGGAGATGAAACAATGTTCTTAATCATTAGATGTCATCTTAAAAATAAGAAAGGAAAGGAAAGGAAAAGGGCGAAAACAATTTTTCCTTGTGATATCTGGATTATATGTTCAAAATTGTTAGTGATCTTCCTTCCTTCTTTCTTTCTTTTTTTTTCTTTTTTAACTTTTAAAGCCAATGGCACTTGAACAAGTTCTATCAGATCAAGATAGTGAAGATGAGGTTGATGACGATGTGGCAGATTTTGAAGATCGAAGGGTATGCTTAATTATATTCTTACTATTCTATTGTTGTCAGTTACAGATGTCAAATTTCTTGTTGTGATTGCTGTTCTGAGCGAAAACTCTCTTAGAACTGTTGTACATCTTAGTGGTTGCCTAAAAGTTGAAGATTGACTTACAAATTGCTCCCTTTTATAGGATTTGGGACCTAGTCTTGAACCTTATTAGGAAAGCTTGCCATTTGGGATTCCAGCTTGAAAATTGGAATATTTTTTTCTTAACTTTTTTCTATATGATTTTAATCTAGATTTGTTATTTTGTAGATGCTTGATAATTTTGTTGATGTGACCAAAGATGAGAAGCAAATCATGCATATGTGGAACTCATTTGTTCGGAAACAGCGGTAATAAGATCTCTCCATTTTGGATGAGTCATCTTGCTAAAGCGTATTAACAACGAACTTCGCTTCATGCTCAAAGATCATTTAAGATTGAGAAAATCGATGTACTTGTCCCTTCAAGTTTCTACTTTCAAGTTTCAGATGTTTCATTTTCTTGGCAGTGTTATTGCTGACGGCCATATTCCATGGGCATGTGAAGCTTTCTCAAAACTGCATGCCCCTGAACTTGTCCGATCCTCTGCGCTAACTTGGTAAGCTTAATTTTTCTTGCGTCTGGTATTTCTTACTTTGCATATTTGATCTTTACATCCGACTTTTCTGGTTTTTTTTTTTTTTTTGCCTAATGAACTTTGCTATTGCTAGCATGGTTGTCTTTTAACTTTGTTGAACAAGTACAATTCCTACAGTTCTGATCTTATTCTAATTATGCGCGCAATGCATGCATGCAAAGGACTAGTCTGGAATTTTTCAAAGTTCCAAGCATATGTTGTTCCGTTTAATCTTCCATATTCCAAGTGATTCTGATATAGGCTCGCTTCATTTAAAGTGGAGCTCAATTTTGTATGATAGGGGGAAAAAAAGGATACGTTTATAAATTGTCATTGTTGATAATGACAATATATACCCAGTTCTGAAGTTCTTGTTTAGTTTTGGTAATGCAATCATGATTTATGACTATGGATAACCTGCACCTGTCATGTTCATGTTCTCAGGTGTTGGAGATTCTTTATGATTAAACTTTGGAATCATGCTCTTCTAGATGCACGTACCATGAACGAGTGTAATCTAATTCTTGAAAGACATCAGAAGGAGAATCCAGATCCTAATAGCTAAAGAAAGTTTTGCTTTTAGCATTTCTTTTAAATGTTGGCCAATGCAAAAGGAGTCTTAAAAACCACAATTTCAAGCCAACGTTATGGAAGATGCTTGATTTCTTTGATATTTCGTCCTCGTCTTTTTTTCAGACAATTGTATCAATATCTGTCAAAACGGTAACTTATTTTCTGAATCACTGATCAGGGAGTAGGGAAATTGTTGAGAAATTTAATTTTTTAGGTGCATGTTACATGAATATTCTTTAAAACTTTTCATGATTTTCACTTGATATTTTATATCCCGAGAAGTTTAAGATAAATTTTAAAAAAATCCTGAAGCTGTGGTGCTTTGCTCTTCTGCTTCGTCTGCTGAAACAACGGATCTATTTTTTTTTTTTTAAATAAAGGATCAATTTATTATAGACAACGGATCTATTGACTATTAGGTATTATTTTGCCACTTACTGGTGATATCATGGTTCCAGGGATAAGGAGTTTGAAATGATAGTGTATAGAAAAAAATCAAACATGAGTTTTTTTTTAATTTTTTTTAAAACACAGCCACAGAAAAATCATGTTTGGTGACATGATATCTCATCAGCATACAAAAGAGTTATACAATTAAGAGACAGTATAAAAAATGTGAACACTTGAATTGTTGATAGGAGCTTGATGAGTTAACAAATTTGTACATTTATTTGCTTTTTTAAAAATATGATCAAAAGTAATTGTTCAGTTTTATAATAAGATCTTTGATTTTATTGATAGTTACAATTAGAGGATGATTTGTATGAGAATTCATTGCATATTAAAGTGAAAGCTTTTGTAAAGGCAAAATAGACATTAGTCTTATCAAATTTTTCAGCCTAGCAGGTATTAAGTTCTTTCAAGATGTCCTTAAGTTCTACTATTGTACTTAAGTGGTGTTCAAGATATGTAGAAAAGTCTTTAATCTAATCACGTTTTTCATCTCGAATGAGGACCTCATAGGAAGTTACACCTTGATTATTGGCGGTGCTGTTTGCTCGAAGTTTGACACATCCGTCTTCAAGAGAGAACCACTTAGCTTTAGATCTATCACTCTGTTGAGTTAAGAAGTTGATTTTTGATTGGAGGTGTTGATTATTGAAAATATCTTTAATGTTAGTAACTGCAATGTTTTTGTCATGGTTGTCTTGCTTATATTTTAAATATATACATTTGTGTAATAATGATGAAAATTGAGAAATGTATTATATAGTTAAAAAGGAAATTAAGAAATTTGTGATTGAAGCTCGTTTTCAAACATTTAAAGAGTTTTAAAATGGTTTTAAAACATTTGAAGAGAAAAAAAAAATTTATCAGAGTGCGAAGAGTAAGGAGAAAAATTGAGAGATTTGAAACAGATAAAATATATAAAGGATGAAGAGGGAAGAGTTTTGGTCTTAAATGGTAATATTAACAATAAATGGGAGATTTATTTTTCTAAACTATTCAATGATAGAGGGGGTTTGTCTAGTAACTTAAAGAATTTAATAACTCATAAAAGAGAATAAAATTTGTCAATCTATCGAAAGATATGCATTAGTGAGGTAAAGGGAGTTCTTATGAAAATAGCAAATGGCAGAGTCAATATTTAGGTGAAAAAGCGATGTGATGGCTAACTAAGTTATGTAATAAGATCTTATGGTCTAAAAAATGCCTAATGATTGGAAAAGTATCTTAGTTCCTATTTATAAAAATAAAGAGGATATTCAGAATTATACTAACTATAGAGGAATTAAACTTATGAATCATATAATGAAATTGTGGGAAAGAATGATTGAACATAAGTTGAAATTGAAAATTGGTATTTTATAGAATTAATTTGGCTTCATGCTAAGTAGGGAGACTATATAGGCAATTTATTTACTACGGGAATTAATGAAAAAGTATTGATGCAAAGATAAAAATTTACATATAGTTTTTATTAATTTGAAAAAAAGTTTATAACCATATATCGAGATAAGTATTTTGGATAGCCTTAGAAAAGAAAGGGGTCCGGGTTGCCTATATTAGAGTGATGCACGATATGTATGAGGGGGCAACAATTAATATAATAACATTTTGCAGTGAAATAAATGATTTTCTTATAAGAATTGTACTACATCAAGGATCATCTTTAAATACTTATTTATTTGACATGGTCCTAAATGTTTTGACAGAGCATATACAAAAGAAAATTCTCAAATGTATACTTTTCATGCATGATATAATCCTTATTGTAGAAACTAGAGAAAAGATTAATTGTAAAATTATGAAGGAAGATATTGGAGTAAAATTATCAAATTAAACTATAACACTAAAATAATAGAAATGAGAATGTTAATATGAATATCCAAACATACATATAAAGATAAAATTTAAAATAAACATATACAATAAAAAATAAGCATGGCACCCAATGAGGGAAAAATTAAAAAAAAAATCATTAAACATAAATAAATCACCGGAGGCACAAAGACAAAAGTAAATCAAATAACTTTAAACTTTGTTAAAAGGATAAATAAATGCCACGTTCTGGATGATACACAACGTTTACACTAGAGTCGAAATTTTTGCCACTTCCGGCAAAAACAATAGTCGAAATTATTTAACGCTTCCTTTACTCATAATTCTTGAAACATATTTGATTCTAATTATACATTACCGAACCCCTGTTATCTTTCATCGTTTGACATAACATACGAGAAAATCAATTGTTTCAAGTCAATGGTGAAGATTTTGAAGCAACAACCAATAATAAAACGCTTTTTGCTTCCTAATTTAAAAGGAACGAGTGAAAACGGTGCGAGTATTAGTTCTTATCCCTTAAATCCACTTTTAGAACTACCACTCGGTTGAAACTCAGTATCTTAGAGAGAAAACTCGGTCTCAAGATGCCAAAATTAACACCACAAAAAATTAATAATACCACAAAGCCGAAGCTAAAAGTTGAGACGTATCAAAACTTGAAAAGTACTACAAGATTGCTCCCCAAGAGTCCTACACCTTAATGGCATATTTCCTCAAAGGAAAGTATGTCTCCTTCTTCTGCTGTCGTTCAGTCTTCAGTGAAGCCTGCAAAAGCAACAACGGAAACAACATCAATGAAACGACAGTGTGTGTGTGATTAAATCAAGCAAAAATAGAAAACAAACTATTAATCAAATATGCTGCATGGGTATGCGAATGAGTATGATACACAATATTTTTCTTCTGAAAGAACTGAGTACCCAAACATAACAAATGAAGGATTCAATTGATCATGTATATCCAATCTCACCATCAAATATTCGCATATACAGATTGTTGATTTGATTGAATGATTTATCCAAGTTGCTTTTCCAATCTCACTATCAGTTTTGTTCTTGGTCAATAATCATGAATTTTATTTGAAGTAAACTCTTCCAAAGACAGACTAAAGCATCATATCCAAGTTGCTAGATCAACGCAAGCATTCAACACAATCAAGAACAATGAAATTGAAAAGAGGCGATTCGTGTTAAATTTTATCAGAGAAAACGCCAGGTCTAAATTTATAAAAAAAAATAGAGAAAACAAATTCGAAACTAGAGATTGAAGACTGCTTAGAATACACACTCATTCATTACTTCTTAGAAACCTGAAGATTCAGTAACCATATTTACATGATACTAGTATATTTATGATGCTCAGGAACTGTTATAAAAAACTGGTACAAAAATTGAGTTAAAGTCCACAAATCATTACCTGGTGCTTGGTAAGCCGCCTGCGAATAGCCCTGGTCTTCTTTGGGCGCAGATCTAGAGGCAAGTACTTCTTGTTTTTATAGGCTTCCCTCAATGCGGACTTCTGCTTCTGAGAAATCACTGTCAACACTTGGGCAATGGACAACCTCACTACCTTTCTGCATATCAAGTCACAAAGAATCTTAAACACATGCACTTATAAGCGGTTAAAACAAACATAAGAAACTAATAGGACGTGATCAAACGGTTATTGTTTTGGCGTAATATGAAACGTGATGCGACATCCAGATAATACACCGGGACGTGCATAAAATACGTTCAACCTCATTTTGCAAGTTCCAATCATAGAGCGAAACAAATACAAAAAATCCATAACACAAATACCTTAGGGGCAACAAAGTAAAGCCTTAGCAACACAGAACTAGTTGCAACATAACAATATATATATATATATATATAGTTTCAATGTAATTTTATATGTAAAGTGATAGCTGATGCGAGGATTAAGCTTGTGCGAAATAAAACATTAATGAAAGCAGAAAGGAAGTAACGGAAGGGTTACATCTTGGAGAGCTTGTTGGGAGCACCACCGGTGACCTTAGCGACGCGGAGCAAAGCAAGCTCAGCCTTGAGATCCTTGAGCTGGTTGAGCAACTCAGACTTCGTTTTCTGCCTGAGCTCGTGAACCTTGATCCTCGCTGGAGCATATCAATTTTCAATCAGACAAAAACCACATTACAGAATAAGAAACACAGATTGATGAGAAACCTCAATTAGGAGGGGGATACAGAAATTGGATTACCCATTGCGTTGTGCGTAACCGAGCGTTGCGGCAGCAGTGACGGCTCTTCGTTCCAAAATGAAAGCCCTAATGGTTGCTGTTTGAGGTTTCGGATTTTATATGGTCGTGCGCTTATCTTCGTAGGCTCTGATTTCTTTCTCTCACTTTTTTTTTATAATTTCTGTAGCATCGGCCCACTTAGGTGTGCAGAACATGACGATTAGGCCCAAGTTGTGAGGCCATGAATATCGTGGATGAGATCTTGTGCGCGTGCACAAAACAAAATTAGGTAACGAACGTTTTACCCAAAAAAAAAAAAAAAACTAGATAACAAAAGTTAGTACAATTAACAAGAATTCAGTTCATAATCATGAGATTATAAGTTTAAATTTTGCTACTGATGTGAAAAATTTATAGATGAGCAATCTATAAATATCTTTATAATGTTATTTGAGCTTAAAAAAATGTCCTAATTTTGATGAGCTTTTGGAACTTAACTCATGTAAATTGTTTATTATAAAAAAGAACAAAATTAGTACAAAAATCATATGATTATTTAATTAAAAGTGTATTGCTATCATAAGTTATAAAATTTAAAACATATAAGAAGAAATATTATAATTTAATTTGTTTTTATATAATAAAATAAAAATTTTAAAAAATTGTAATTTTTTCCTAATCATCTCTTTAAATTTATTCAGTCCAAAAAAATTTCAAGCAAGAAAAAATTTCATATCTATTTTTAGAAAATATGTATTTTTTTAGAAAAAAAATTAATTTATTTGATATTTTTGTCTTATTATTGTGTTCATTGTAATACCCATCATTTAATCATTTTTGTTTGAAATGTATATTTAAATTAATAATAAAAATAATAAAATTAGACAAAATTAAAAAAAAAATATACAATATTTGTATATATTTCATGGAACTACACATATAAATTAACAATACTTTGTGTTTCCCAGTGATAAGACTTCCCTGGTTCAGACAACTTTGTGCATATGAAAAAAAAAAAGGCAAAGAAATAGCACTAATAAAAATGAGATGCTACTAGCCTTAGTAAAACTTGTAAAAGTGAGATGTTTCCGATGCCTCTGTACAATATTTCAAATTCAGCTAACAGAACCAACTAAAATTATTAGCATGTATTCTTGTCACTTCCGCTTGGTTTATATGAAGGTGAAAGTAAAAAGAAAATAAGAAGAGTAAATTAGAAGAAAAATAGTTTAAAAAATAATACATTCTTTTTTACTTTTTTTTTTTTAATTCTCCTCGTCTAAACAAAAAGCTAAGCAAGTGCAGCCTTGAGAAGTGGTAGTCTGCATTCAGAATGCCCAGTTCTACAATCTGCTTCTTCGTGATAATTTGACCGGCCATCCGTTCTTCAATATTATACACGAAACTAGATTGCTGCTCACTCAGTTTGGAAATGTCTCTTTCTCCTCCTATAGTGTTGATGACAATCATCAATTATATATTATATAATCTTATTAATTTAGGACTGAATTCAAATAGTCTTTTTTGGTCCTCTGATCATCAACTCCCCCTTACTGTAGAGGTAGTCAACGATGGGAGGTTTTGATTCCTTTCAGCTTTGCACACAGTCTTTTCTGACAATATATAGTTTTCTTTTTCATCCAAAAAAACAAGTTGTGAGAGGTCCCTTTTTTTTTTTTTTGGGCCTGCAGTAATCTTTAGAATGGGCGGAGCCTCTTCTCCTTGCACTTTAAAAAATAAATAAATAAACTAACAGGAATGCTAGATTGTGTTATTATCAACAAGTGAATTCTTGAAAAGCAGATGAATAATAAATAAATAAAATATATACACACACATGGATAAACAAATATAGTTGATACAATCTATTGCTAAGTGAATTAGTGACGAGACTAATTACTTCCCTGGGTCAGGCAACTTCCTGGACTGGAAAACAGCGAACTTAGAGAGTTGAGAGTAAGAATAATTGATGCCGTTTTGATTGAGGAATTCCTCAAGCAACTTCTTGGCTCGTTCTGGTTCAGAACTCTCACATTCAATCTCATAGCTCGTCCCAAAATCATAATTAGTCTCATCAACCTCTAATTTCAATCCATTCCACTCATACACACCTCTCACATTCCTAAATCCTCCTAAGCACACAAAATCCCTTTCTTCTCCGATCTCATATTCATCCCTCACTCTCCGGAGTATCTCCGACGACTCGATTCTCGAGAGCCTCCATGGATCTGCGATGCAGCTGCGACCGATTGCGGCATCGAGTGGCTCTTCGTGCTCCTCGATGCGGATGATTCCGTCGGAAATTACGGGCTTGGCCTTGAGAGATAGGACGCAGGTATCGAGATTGCAGAATCGGATTCGGAGGACGGCAAGATTGGAGGTGAGCTGAGCCTTTGCGCCGTCGAAGAAGATGTTTTCTTGAATGAAGGTCTTGATGTGATATGGTGAGAGTAGATCGGAGAGTTTCTGGTGAGAAGCTGAGTCAGGGAGACGGAGCTTCACTTCCACTTCCATAGGTAAAGCCTCAAATTCTCAGCCTCTGAAAAGGAAAGAGGATAGGCATGCTTAAATCGACCTGTATTTTCATTTGTTTGTCTCCGCGTCTTCCTAGATTTTTACTTTTTGGTAGATTTCAAGGTAGTGATGGAAAATTCTTCAAAGTTTTTTATTTAAAAAAATAATAATAATTTTTTTAAAATATATAAATAACAATATAATTTTTTAAAATCTCCTTATTTTGCTAAAGTTTTTAAGGCCTTCTACATTAATAAATTTTAAATTAAAAAAATTATTTTATTTTTATTAATAAATTTTTATTTTTTGTTTAATTCTTACAATTTTTTAATTATTATTTTTTAAATAAAAATTATGATTGAAGTTTGTTATTTTAAAAATTTATTTTTTAATAATAGTAATTATATTTGATAAGTTATGATTTTTTATTCAATTTTTATAATTTATAAAAAAATTATTATTTCTTAAATAAAAATTGCAATCAAAACTTGTTTTTTAATAAAAAAATTTATAATTTACAAGTTGTAATTTTTTATTTAACTTTTTTTATTTATAAAACAAAAGTTATTACTCCTTAAATAAAAATTACGATTAAGATTTATTATTTTTAATAAAAGTAAAATAATTTTTTTATTTTAAAATTTACAAACACCAAAATTTTTAAGGATTTTAGTGAAATTATAACATTAAATTTTATCATTTATATAATTTAAAAAAATTTTATTGTCTAAAAAAATTATGACAAATAATGAATTTGGAATGTCTCTCCTTATTTTTTTATGCTTAAAATCTCAACCTTATTTAAAAAATTAGATAAAATTTCTTTGACCATTAGTCAAAATAAAGAGTTGAGATTTTAAATATTAAAAGAAAAGGGAGGACATCAAAAACTTTAAATTCCTCAAATTAAATGAGATTATATGTCGAGGAAAAAGCAGAAAATCCTTTTGGTGGTAAAAAAAACAAGAAAGAAAATAAGGATCTGTGTGACTTTTGTTTTTCATCTTTTATTTTAAAAAATTATTTTATAATATAATTTTTAAAATTGTTTTCAAAATAAAAAAATAAAATTTTATTTAATTATATTAATTTAAAAACTATCTTAAAATTAAAAAATAAATTAATAGTAATGGTTATAGAAAATTAATAATAATAATTTATAATAAAATTAATCAAGATAATTATAATTTTTAATAATTAAATATAATATATTTTAAATATAAGAAAATAAAATAAAAATAATTTAAAGTTGTTTGTATTTTTTAATTTTTAAAAATAAAAAATAAAAACAGCTTTAAGAATAATTAAATTAAAAAAATTTGATCAAATAAGTTTTTAAATATTTTTATTTTTAAAGAAAAAATAATTTTTAAAAATAAAAAACAAAAGGTCCTAAGACTTTTGGAAAATTTTATTTCCCAAGAAAGTATTTTGTCGCATAACTTTGACAGAGCGCCATAGGTTGTGATAGAAATAGTTTTTATTAATTTTGCTAAAAAAAAAAGAAATAGTTTTTATTAACTGATGATGAGTTTTCGACGTGGGTTGAAATCTTAATTTGGACAATTGGACCGAGCAAGTTTCCGGAAAATTTAAATTAAGTTCACGTGATTGGTTATTATGAATAAATTTTGAGTCTAAGTGCAGGTTGTTTAAGGACATTTACTTATTATTTCCTCCATCTCAAGTTATAAGATATTTTTAAATAAAATTTCACATACTAATAAAAATATACTTTATTATAACTTTTTTTTCAAAACAAAAATATAAATTTTTAAAAATACTTTTTATTTAATATTTTATTAATAAAATAATATTAAAAAGAGAGAATATAAGAACATGATAATATTAAAAAAATTATTATCAATGAAACTCTATTTTTATTAAAGCATTTTATATTTTAAAATGTTAAATTTTTTTAAAAAATATTTTATAATTTAAAATTAACAGAGTACTTTTTTGAAAGAAAAACAAATGTCCTTTTTTCCCTCGCTATATGAAATCTTTTCACACACATCATTTCGAATAATTGAACATAGCATCAATTTTTCTTTTCCTGGCCAGCGAAACATAGCCAATAAATAAACAATACTTGATAATTTATCATTCGTAACTCTTTAATACTTGATCAGCCACCTTCGGGATAATTGTCCCCTGAGTAATTAAGAAGCTCCACCTCCCTCTGGCAAATTGATTTATTGATATAAAATATAAAATAAACAATAAATGTCCCCATTTATTCAATCATGAATATTATGGGTTATTTAAAAAATCATAATAAATAAATAACTTACTCTATCGTGTCTTTATTATAACGTGTTTCCAATATTCACGCATTTTAAAGAAGATTAATTATTAAAAAATTATTAAAAAGTACCCAATAATCCTAGTTTTACCCCTGTTAATTAGAAGGATGTAAAAGCCAAATTATAAAAACTCCCTCCACAGATTAAGAGATCACTATCAAAACTGTGGGAAAAAATTTAAAAAAAATACTAAATACTTTTACATTGCACTACTTTTATATGGTTAAAAAAAAAAAAGACACCTTGTATAGATAACTTGAGGAGTAGTTGGCAAGAGCTGCAGACAAAGGGACAATCTCCAGCTCCTAATTAATTAGTTTTTGTATGTTAGTATATAATACTTGTTCATTGAAGAATGATTGCTTCATTAAGATGGTGATTGGAAAAGGAAAATTGGCCATACTCTCATTATTGTTCGTGTTCAGTTCAGTAATGGCCTGTTCGTGCTTTATCCTGTTGACTCATTTCGTTGTGGAATTGGTCCGTCAAGAGAACAAAGCGAAAGAATTACTTGATTATGATGATGATGATGAACAAGCCCCTTGGGATCGATTCGGAGTTGGTTTCTTCTTAATATTCACTGTGGCTTTCGTTTTCGTGGCTGTCTTCTCTGGGAGCAGTGTCAATTCTATTCTCAATAGTGGCACTAGCAACACCAATAAGATTGTCCCTGAACCAACTTCTGTTCTTGAAGATGATCAACCTCGGATGGATTATCAACCACAACATTAATCGATCGACAATGTTTCCAAGTGTTACGGTTAGATTGCGTGCATAGAGATCTATACTTGATTAATGCGCCAAAATATATATTCTTAATTCTCAGATTTTTATAAATAGTTGTGAAGTATGAATTTCTCATATTGTTTTTATCCTTGAACTGTGTTAATAGTTTTTGCACCGTTTAAAAGACAGTCTTGGTCAAAGAAGTTTCCCACACCCAACATGCTAGTGAGATAGGCTATTATTTTAGATTTGTGCTTGAAACATTATCTCTTTTATTAAGAGGATAATGTTATGGTAAGGGTTATCCATATTTTACAAAAGCCTATAATTCATCGAAAGGTCGAGTTGAGTTGCTATAGAGTCCACCAAGGACATTGGCTTTTGAAAGCTTATTCCAAGGAGAATTTAAATGTATCACTTAAGTACTTGCGATCTCAAATTAAGATAAACATTATATTCCTTCTTTATTTACCTAGATTGTTAAAATTAAAAGTGAATGGGTTTAATTTAATTTCTTCACTTTGATAACTTTAATTGAATTATATTAATACACACACACATAAAATGTAAAATCAGAAAAATTCTTACTATTAATTTTTTTAAATAATCTTTGAACTTAACTAGATTAGCATGCTACACTCGTATTGGATATAAATGCAGACCATGATTCAGATTTAGAGAGTTTTGGGTTCTAGTGTTTAAATTGTTAGGTTATAAGCATACTATACTCATAACAGCCACCGTGTGTGACAGTGACATATATGCATGGCCTAAAGGGACAATGACATATATCATACACTAATTATTTTTCTCAAATTGCATAATTAATCTCATCCGCATATGTAATCAGAATATTACTGTCACCAAACTAATCCAAAATTTATTGCATCTGCGTCTCATATTTACGTTTTCGATTTTCTACATTAAGTATATATCCTATATATATGTGAGACTCATCAGCAATTTCAACTTAGAAAAGTACAGTATTAGCACATACATATGACACTGACGAGGATTTTGTCTTCGTCAAACAGATCGATGTCAGGAGTGTTTTCGCTCATTTCAAGAGATAAAAGACAAAAGCATTGAACTCTCCTACTTATATGCATGGTGGCTGTCGATCGAAACCAGAAATTCTACCATCAGTAATCACGACCACAAAAGGAAGGAACGAAAACGACATTATAAAAACTTTTGTTTAAATGCACATGGATACGATGTTTTCGAAAGCAGGTGATTTCAATATTAGTCCTTCTCAGAGAAAATCACTCTTAAATTAATTCACTAATCTGAGAGTCCCATAAACATAAAAGGACATCAACATCATTTACAACATTTGTAATTTTCTTAATAAGTGTAACTCTAAATGATATATAAATCCCAACACAAGGATGCACTTAATCAAAACCTAGACGGCAACGAATGATAATAACTACGCTAGTACATAATATAAAACAAACTGCATCGATAAGCGACACAGAATATATATATATATATATATTTATATAGTTGCCGAATTTGAAGCTGTTCATTGCATTTGCATATATATATATATATATATATAGCTTCATTGATATTGTGATTGACGTACAAGAAAATAAAATGCAGATTGACAAAGTAAAAGCCGTCATCACTGCACTATGTCTGTTCTTGCTTTCCGCTTTGTTTTGTTTCTTCCTCGTGGGGATGATCTATCTCATAGTCTCTGTGATTGGTTTCTTTTCCCGATTAGTTCTGCAGTACGACCAGCTTCCTGAAGCACTGTGGCTAGGAATTTTCATGGCTTGGTTATTACACTTAGCCTTTGTTTCCCTTGTCTATACCATACGATTTGCAGTTCATGGGAAAAACAAGATCTCAGACTATTGCAACGCCTCATCTCAGATTTCACCCACACCAACTTCTTCCATTATCGAAGCTGATGATGATCATCAGCAACAAGAACCAGCTCAAAGATCAGTAGCTGATGATGATGATGATGGTCATAAAAAAGTGGATAAAGTTATGATTGGTGTAA